TTTAAGATCTCTGAATTGGATACCCAACTCAGGGACACTTGGGCTCGCCAGGGTGGCGAGCCTGAGTTATTCAGGCAAGTCCAAGCTGGCTCGCACAGGTAATCAAGCAACGACACATGCATGAGCTTAACAACTGCCCCAGATCAAAATGTACCCTATAAGTGAATTTGGATTGTCCAGTCTAATGAACATCAGAACTGAGGAATTTCTTATTTGAAATCTGGCTTGTTCTTTTCTTTTATTTTTTGATCGACCTCAAGATGCATATTTGATGAAGTCTTTAGATTACAAGACCCCATATCCAGATTCTAGATGCTTTTGAAATAGCACCACATAGTGGCATTGTTGACTACTTGTCATATTACTTTGGTGCGTGAGAGGACTCAGTTGTTGGACTGCCTCCCGGACATCAGTACCGTCCATAAACAGTAGATGCGTGCACACTGCAATCTGCACTTATCCTTACCAATTTGAAGCACCTCACCTATTAGAATAAGTTCATGAGTTTGTTTCATCGTGGGAAGTAACACTTCCCATTACAGTGAGAAGGTTTGTACTTAATTTCTAAGTAATACAGAATAGATAGTTGCAAAGAAAGGGCAAGAAGAAAAGAAAACTCAAACCCAAAGGTCAAATTCACACAACCCATTAGGCACCTTTGGGAGGGAGGGAGTGTAACAACTTGCACGCTTCCCCAGCCCTTCTCATCAGTTGCAGGGTTTGGTGGCCAGAAATTGACTTGGCTTCGCCAAGAGGCCTCATCTCTAGAAGCCCAGGTCGCGAGGCATCCCCTCGCAGTAAGGAATCTCCCCCTTGCCTTGCACTTGTGACATGGTATGTTTCCTCCATGTGAGTCCCATGCGTCAGTTTGTGGATCACGGTCTCACACACTAATCCCTACAGGTGCTCTGTCGTAGGCTGGCCGCCCTACCTAAACCAATCATCACATCGGTCCCTAGGCCCTCCCAAATCGTATGACTGAACTTAAAGAGAGAGAATTGATTCTAGAAATCTCACTTACAATTTTTCTCAGGGACTCGTCAACCTTTAGAATAGATGTATGAGAAACACCAGGAAACTTCACCACCTTAACCACTTGTTCCTCGACACTAGACCACTCTTCAAAAGCGGCTAACAAACTCACCATGTTCACAGTCCCATCTCCATCTCCATTAACAACAGCAGGCTGCGTATCAAACTCACTTCTCTCATAAAACAAAGTCTCTGGTGTCTCAATCCCACTGCCTATCAAGCAAGTTACGGGCACTCCAGGTGCAGGAAGCTCTCCAGTGATGGGCAATACCCTCTTAATATAAGGCTCAACGCCTTGCGAGAACCCAATATCTTCGAGAAATTGAGGCATATTTTTAGCTGAATATGTCTTGTTTGGGGTTATTACAAGAGATCTGTGACCAAAAATTCGAGGTGAAGGTAGAAGCCACATATTGCTTTCTGAGCTCCTCTGTTCCCCTCTTACTAGCAATGGATCTACCAAGGGAACACCCAAAGTGTAACCTGAGGCAAAAGTGATTAATTCTTGAACAGTGCCACCCCATGGAGCTGAGAGGGCAATAAAATGTTTAACATACTTCTGGCGCCATGACATTGGATTTTGGCAAAGGAGTCGGAGGACCCATAGGCCACCAAGACTATGTGAGATCAGAATCGTAGGGACCTCACCATTAGAGAAGTATGCATTCTCGATGAGAGTTTTCAGGTCTTTGAGGAACTTGGAGCCCACAGAGGAATTTAGGCCGTAGCGGAAGTCGTAGGGCGCCCCGAAAAGGTTCTCCTCGTCAATGTAGCCAATGTCTTCTATAGAGCTTATGAGAGGCTCCATGTATGCAGTGATGTGCCTGCTATTGTTATGTTATATTCATGAAAGCATCATAAACTTTGCCCTGGGGATCCTATACTATACGACTATTTTCATTTGGTGTATAAAGGTCATCGTCAGCCCTAACCATTAGAGCGAAATCTGATGGCTTGGGTGTTCACCAGTCTGAAGAAATTTCTTTTAAGACTTTGATCCTGCTTAATATCATAATTTCAATTGTCTGATTTCGTATCTAACGACTAAGACTGACTTTGCCCTCGTTGTACCATAGGTAAATAATCTTATTATATACTTTCTAATAATTTTCACCCATCTCATCATCTAAACTTCGATGAGTTGTTTGAAAGCCAATGTATCTCTTCATTTCTTTCTCATTAAATAATGTGCAAGGATGATGGAAGAGGCAATTTTACTAAACTCGGTGATTGTTTGGTAATCCGTGTAATTTTAGTTTCGTATAAACCTAGGTTTAAAATTCGACATGAATACATTGGAAAGAACTTAGATGTGACTTTAATAGGTAAAAAGATGAAAAAAAGTAGACTTAAATAGACAAGTTATGTGAGGCATAGATCCAATACAATATCGATTAGGAAGTAAGATATATTCAAGTGAAAGGCTTTAGAAGGGCAAAGAGAAGGTCTAAAAAGAAATAGATGGAAGTAGTGAAAAAATATATAGAAACTTATAGTCTTATTGTTTGGGTTGATTGCATGAATCTTGTTATGTCATTCTGCACTATTAAGATTTGTCAATCAGACGGAACAAGATTTGTGTGATCGACCCAAACAGCTATAATAAGGCTCCGGTGATGATGATCAAACTAGGTTTTGAATCATTTTGTCATGGAATTAGCATTTGAGTCGGTTTCATAATTCTCTCGGTGTCTAGTTTTAGGAAAAGTGGTCTAGGCAACCACTTGACTCTATATGCTGATCTACTTTTACAAAAGAGGCAATGTAAATGCTAGCACTGCAATATTAGAAACAGCTTTTCACAGGCCCTATTCCGTTCGACGAGAAACTTGACCGCTGGGATGACATCAAACGGCTCAAAAGGGTACAGAAACTTGTTTCAAAACATGGTACGCTCATGATATGCATTTCCATTATAAAAATTAGGGAAAAATATCAAAATGCATGCGAGGTATAATATGTTATCTATATATTTTGATATAATTAAAAAATGCCCATCAAAATACACATAATTTTGAGTTTGAATAGTAGAAAAGAGTATATACTATAGGAAAATATTTAAAGAGGCCATTTATTTTTGGCATAAGGAGGTCACAACAACTATCGAATTTTAAATCCGATGGTTGTTAATGTGTTATTAATTGGGCTCGTAATTCAAAAAAGATTTTGAACCTTGCGACACACCTAAAGCTGTCCAATTCGACATCTTATGGCTCGAGGCAATGGGGCCGACCATTGGTCTAGTTTTTAAAATATTGATATTACTGTTTGACTACATAAAGTATCATGTGGCGCATGGCACACTCTAAAATATATTAAAAGGACATTGATATGGCAAGCTTTTCGTGCTTTCCTTATAACATAAAACTTATATACTTCCCCTTATCCAACTATCCATTATGAATGGAAGGCTAAGATTGGCCCAATCACAATGTCAGGACTCTATATTATTTTATTTTTAATTTTTTTTCTATAAACTATTTTGATACCAAATTTTGTACGTCTAATCCTCTATTAAACTCGCACTAATAAAAAATATATAAAAAATATTTATAATAAAATAAAATGATCAAAATACCTCTGAAAATTTCAACAGGTATTTGGTCATTATATTTTATCGAAAAATTATTTTTATTATTTTTACTAGGTACGCCCAAATAAGAAGATAAGTTGGCCCGTACGAAATTTCATATTCATACAATTTGTATAAAAAAAACTAAAACTAAAATACTTTGAAACATCATATCTAAAATCAAATGGTGAGTAGCTCTCTCGATCAATTTTGGACGGCCCGATGGTAGGAGAAACATAAATCTTCTATGCTGTAGGAGAAGTATAGAAACCTTTCCCCATTGATATTGCCTTAAATGTTTCTCATCTAAAGTAAATTTAGAATACATGAACGAGTAATAATACTAGCGTACCCTTACACATCTACGTGAGTGAATAGAACTTCAAAAGATCATCATTAAATTTTTTTTAGAGATGTGTGTTAAAATGTAGTGAATAGAACTTCAAAAAAATCATCATTAATTTTTTTTAGAGATATGTGTCAAAATTTAATAGTGACCGTTTAGAATCCTACTAACGTGGGTATTGGAGGATCCCATAGTGTCATTGCTCTACATGAAAATACTTCCGGTTTTTACGATGAATGATGTGAGAGTTTTCTTAGGCCAATTAGCATTTGTGTAAAAAACACCCCCCGCTTAATAATGAGAAACAATAAATGACGGTTATGTCTGGCATCTAAAATCTTACTTGAGATTGGGGTCGAGGTAGCGAAGGCTGAGAACTGATCCAAAATGAGGGACTCTGGTTTCCACTCCAGGGGCATTGTGGTAATCTTTGGCCTTCGGATCATAGTAAAGGGTCATCCTCTCTGCAAAACACTTGGTAAAAGAAGGAATGATAACTGAAATATCGAACCAGAGCCTGAACCATTCGTTCTTCTCTCTACCCCATGGCCTGCAAAGAAGGCTTGAGGGCTTGTATTTCTCTGACAACTTTCCTTCCAATTGATTTCCCCCACTACCTGGAACCAGAACAATGGGGTGCAATCTCTCTCTAACCCCATAGCAGCCATGAACTGCAAAAGCCATCATCAAAATTCCAGTTATCAACCTCACTCCTTGCATTATTTGAACTCTCTTTCTCTCTCTACAGCCTCTCTCTCTCTAACCCACCAGCTTGTATTCTCTCTCTCTCAAACTGAGGAGAACAATTGGATAGGAGATGGACGCAAAAGTGATGGCGTGGGTTACTTTTCATCCATTCCCCACTTCGAGAATGAATGGCTGTGGTTGTAGAGAGGCTACTGAGTATGGTTCGACAATATAATTCAGGAAAGATCTACTGTGGTCCAAGTGAGCATAGAGAAAGAATAGTCATAAATGTCACTGCGTCTGATCAGTGGTAGAGCGGTCAACAATTTTTATTTTTATTTTTTTTGTATTTGTGGGATTCAGGGCCCGACCTTTGTAGTGGAGTACAAAGGTTCGGTGGTATAACTACAGAGCCTCATCCCATCTCATAGTCGACAAAGATAAGAGTTGATTGTGTTTCTTCTCTATCACCGTCCATAATGGGACTCCTATCCTTATTCCTTCTGCTGTCAAAAAGTTTAAAACTATGTGATTAGTGGATGGACCATACTCGCATTGGAAGGTGGATATAAAAATGGAAAAATATACAAAGAAATAATTACAATTGTATAAGGAGGGGACAATCACACTCTACGTCCATTTGATTTCAATAGAGGTTATAAGAGTGATATTAACTAGACTCAAAGTTAAAAAAAAACAGAAGAGAGAACTTCATGACACACTTCAAGCCATCTAATTTGACATATATATTTATTTATATAAAACAAGGATATACATTCATATTGATTAATGGACACTGAGTCTTACCAGAGAAATTTTAGACTCTTCACATGGTATGATAGCTAGATTCATCTTCATTGTATTCATTCATGTAAAATCGAGTCCATTATTCTGTTGCTCGATCTTATTCTTTTCTGTATGATCGAGCTTGTTGTTCTATTACTCGATCATGTTTGTCTGTTTGTGAGCATCAAATCTATGTCGGATTTGTATGAGTTTTGTTGGCTCTTCTAAGTACAATTCTATTTTCTTGATTGACTAAACTGTTATTGTTTTTGAAAAATATATGGAGGGTTTTTTTATTTTATTTTTTATTTTTTTATGTTGCTCGATCTTGTCTATTCTTATATGCGAGCGGCCCATTATGTTCTTTTAGCCGTCACAACTTTCTTATGTTTGTGGAGAACATCTTCCAATTTTATGCTATGATTTACCTAGCATCTTTGGCACTTGCAAAGAGCACTCGAGAAGACTAGGTCCGAGTTCCCTTTCGCCGTTATGTTTTTTGGGCGATCAAATCATTGTCGTTGCTGTCCACTGTTGTTTGGTATTAGCTCTTGGATTTTTTATTGTTTCCGATTGTTGTCTCTCTCTCTATGCATCCGCAGGTATCGTCATCCTAGGCCTTCAATTTCCATCTTTCTAATACCTTGGGGCACCCATTTTATTAACTAAGGTTCGGTTTGTATAGAGCCGAGGCTTTAAACAATCAAACTAAAGCCTACTTTTAAATAGTTCTGACAAATATAGTTTCAATACTGTAAATCTTTGTGATAGCCTTAAAATATATTTTTCATTTTTAATTATAAAATTTAAAACTTAAAAAATAGTGTAGATTGATCATATCTATAAAAACTTGAAAATCTTGAAATTTGACGGTAAAAAAATATTTTACAAGATGCACTATTTCTAAAACTTGAAATCCATTTTTTCCTCATGTTCATGCATCTTGATGTCTAGATGATCAATTAAAAGATATTATGGCATCAAAAGAACTTCTTCTTTAAAAATTTTAGGTGGACTCTAATTTGATTGTTAGAGCCTCGGCTCTATATAAACTTTTTCCTTCTATTAAGGCCCATCCGTTGAGGAAATAGTGCCTTTGGTATGTCTCTTGAAACTAAGCATTAAAAAAATAAAATAAAAAATGAGGCGATTATTACTATTATTATTTTTTAGGGGGTTGGGGGTTGTCTCATCAGATCGCTCGCTGAGAGAGTTTGGAAAGATTACTATGTGAAAGTAGATGCGGTGGTTTACTTAACGGATGCAGCGGACATCGAGAGGTTTGCAGAGTTGAAGAAGGAGCTTGATATTAGGATATATATGGAATCTATATCGTTTCTACTTGTCCATCTCAATATCTAACTTCTCGTTTCTATTATTTATGATTCAAACTCCAACCGCTTTATTTCATAGCATCTTGAATTTGAAGAAGAATGTGAAAAGAAAGAACATATTGTCAATCAGGTTAATATGAAAGGTGTATATTGCAAGCAATATATATGGGAAGAATATACACAATCTTATATTTTATGGTAAGTCAGGGTATAATATAAGTGTCTGTGATTTACTATTTGGATCGCCTGCATCGATGATTTGGATTGGTTAAAAGCAAAAATAATAACAAAAACTAAAGTCTGGAAATTGGTTGGGGGAGACCTTGATCACGCAACCTTGAAATCTAATCCTAATTAGTGACTCTTGACCCATATTATTGGGTTTTGAAACCCACAAATCACACATGGAAAATGGTTTAATAGGGTTGTAGCCCTATCAAAATAAGTAAAGCCTCACCTCATAATTTATCGAAAATTGTATTTCAAGCCTTGGAAAAAATATATTGCTGTGAAAAAAAAATAAGATTTCAAGCTCTAAAAATAATGTATATTGTAACAAATTACGTCCTAAAAATAAGTGTTCCAAAATCAGCAAGATCTTTACACATTTTTGAGTTTCAAATTTTATTGACGGTGTTCGAAATTGATTTTAGAACAATCAAGGAGATTTTCATTGTCGAAATTATTTTCTGGATGAGCATTTAAGGTGAGGTTTTTTTTTTTTTTCATAAAGCTTGGGCCTTATAGAAACCTCATCCATTCCACATACTATCAAAAGCCGAATAAGTGGGTGTTAATGGTCAAATTGTAATAAATGAGAATCTGAGAGGATGAAAACGAGACGGGGGAATTGGTTTCCAGTCTAACTCCTCTACAAAGGAATGAAGCATGACCATTTTGCGAGACAACGACGAGGAAGGAAATGTTTCTATGTGACCTCAACAACGTATAGGGTCTAACTCCTCTACAAAGGAATGAAGCATGACCATTTTGCGAGACAACGACGAGGAAGGAAATGTTTCTATGTGACCTCAACAACGTATAGGTTACATGTGATCTCATTTCTTAGCCATTTGATCTGAATCAAACAGCTAAGATTATTCATACCACAATTTTTGTAAATTATATTTTTGATGAAATTTTGGGAGTCCCATTATAAAATTAGGGTGAACATGAAAAAGTTAAAAACAAATATTTTCTGTAAAAATAAATAACCAAAATGCTCATGCAATTTTCAAAGGTATTCTAGTAAATTTTCATCATTGAAAACATTTTTTTATTATTATTTTTAACATGTGCATCCTTATTAGATCTATGCATGCTCCAAATTTTGCTTCAAAAATATTTGTAGAAAAAAATAATCTATGAACCATATAATCAAGATCTAACGGTTAAGAGCTAGCTTTTGACATTGTGACTCAAGCGATCTTAGCCATCTACTTAGATCTTACGTCAGAGACCAAAGTTCATATATATATATATATATATGAGCAATAATCGTATGAGACCCTCCCAGACCCATGTGTATAGAACCCCAAAGGATCACTATTAAATTTGGCACAAAACTCTAGAAAAGCTATCACATGGGTGTGGGACTTGATTTTTCTAGAGATCTGTGGCAAATTTAATAGTGATCCGTTGGGGTCCTACACACATGGGTGTGGGAGGGTGAGGGTCTCATAGGATTATATATATATATATATCGAGAAAGATACTACAAAATACCTATAGGTGAAATTGAACAGTGATTTCGTTTACTTTCTTCACCATCCAAACTTCATTGCACGGTCATAGTTGTTGGGTAGTGTTTCATTTTTCATTTTTGTACTAACCGGAATGATATGAAATTTGGAGCATATGTACATCCTAGTGAGGCGCACCTAATAAAAATGTTAAAAAAAATATTCGTAAAT